GGGAAGGGAAGTGTGGGAACAAGTTGATTCTCATGATTGGGGGAAGTCTTTTCTATCTGATGGGCAAACTAACCCAAACACACACTAGGAAATTAAAAAAAAAATAAGAGAGAGACTACAGCTAATAGGGTGATTCAGGGGAAATCACATCGAACTTGGAGTCAGAAGCTGGTTGCATTTTCTCCACTTCTTGAAAGCTATGCAACCTTGGACAGATCATCTAGCAACATTTAATTTGTTGGTAAAATAAGGATAATAAAATCTTCCTTTCTTAGTTTATTGGTCTGTGATAAGATTCAAATAAAATTATAAATATATAAAATGTATATATATATATGTTATATATACAACTTTGAAGTCAATAAAGCCTTATCCAAACGTAAGACATCATTTTTATTACAAAGAATGAAGTCATTGGAAGCAGACTAGAGAAAATGATGCGGTTTCATCCGCTGCTCTGTTATCTTGCCAGATACAAAGGTATCTGAAGCGTGGGAGGTAGCAGGGATTTCCACGACACATGAGATCATCATGCACTAAACAGACGAGCCCGGCTCCAAATAGGTGTGCTTGTACGTAAAATATTTATGTCGCCAGTATTTTATTTTATAGTAGCAGTGTTTCTCAAAGCATTACGGTGGAATTACCTGGGGTGCTTGCTAAAAAAGTGCATACCCCAAGGCATGGCCAGCCTTACTCCGAGGCGGGGAACCCAGGTCTGTTCCCTTTACAAAGCACCCAGGTGATTCTTAAGGACACCAGTGCTGAAGATTGAGTACAGTATGGAACGTGCTTCAAGATACGTCAATGTAAGTTAGAAGGTTTTCACTTGAGAAAGACTTTCACTGAATACAACTGCTTTGGTTTGTAAGGCATTCCTTCTCCTTTGTGAGGACGAGCTTTGATCTCCCGCCCCTCAAGAGCCATGGATGCCACAGATGGCAGACGTTATGGGGCCGTCTACGGTCGGTGCACAGTCTCATCTCTGAGGACCTGGGAACACAAGGGTAATGAGCCCTCATCGCATTCTCTTTTGCTTCCGCTGACTTCTTTTTCTTGTTTTTCTGTTATAATAAAGGTTTGACTCCCTAAAGGCGAAGCATTCTATGTAAGCTTCGTTTGTAAGCAGCCCTTCTCAATTTTTATGTATGAAAGAGCAGCGAGAACACAGGTGACAGCATGTGTAGCCACTCCGTGAGAATGAGTGTTACTATTGGATTTAACCCTTGGTTTTCTTTTAACATAAAGAATATTGATTTGGGGGTTCGGGGAATGTTAATTGTGTTTTCAACTTTTGAACTTCTGACCTTTGGGATTTTTTTTTTTTTAAGGAACAAATTACTCTTCTAAGGTAAGAATGAGGTTCATTTTGTGAGTTGCCTCAATTCTTCCCCTACTTTGTTGGAAGCAGCTGATTTAACTACTTTGCTTTATTTTCACACAGAAATATGACCCAAGTCTCAACAGTGCCACTGAAGTAATCGTGCCCCTAACAATATTGCAAACTGTACCCACCACTACATAGTTGAGTGGTACCCCAAAATCATAAAGGGCAGGGCGTGTCATCACAGATGAGAAAGGCAGGCAGAGGTGAGGGGAAGCAACCCGTCTCCAGGAGGAATGACAACTGATCAGGAAAGGTTATTACGCATCAAACACAAAGCTAGGTTCTATCCCTGTGTGCTTCATCTCACAGGAACTTGATGAATGAAGCATTATACCTATTTTAAAGACAAGGAAATGGAGGCACCGAACAGTAAATCAGCCCACGGTTATGCAGTGGGTGAATAACAGAGCTCATGAATAAAAAATCAGCTTTTTCCAAAGTACATTTTTTAGTTGCAAAATCTACGATGTTTCTGACACGTTGTCATCCTCAAAATTACGCCTGGATAACCTATTTTCCAAAACCAGGGATTTCCTGACTAGCTCATAGTCATAATTAAATGCAATGACACAGATGATAATGTGTGGTGTTTGGCTTAAGAAGAAAATAAATTCCACATTTTCTCGCTGGGCTGGGCAACTTGGAATTAATAAGGATGTAATTACAAATAGCAGCACCAAGGTGCTGAAATGCCCCCAGTGTGAAGAGAAAACATACATTTACTTCCAAAGTGGAAAATGATGCTGTGGCAGTTTGTTTGCTTATTCAGCCAACATTCATAAGACACCTACAAAGTGCCCAGCCCTGAAAGGGGAGCTAGGAATGGAAACCTGAACAAAATGCTATGGAATAGAGGTAAATAAATGATAGTGACTTCCCCAGAGGCTAGCTGAGAAAGAGGGAGTTTTATAAAATAGAGGATAGACGGTTTTCCAGTTTGGAAGCAGGCAGGTCTCTGGTACCCCTGCTGTCTTCATGAAGAAAAGTGACCTGTTCTTCTCCGAATGTCCCGTTGGAAAAGCAGGGCTGGGAGAACCCCAGTCACTGGGAGGCCTGCCCCTGGCCTCACACACCATCGACTGTGCCCATCGGATGCCGTGTGGGGTAGATGGTGGAGTGAGTGCAGAAGGGTCCCTGAAGCAGTTCATTTCTTAAGTGGAAGAAACAGACCGAAATATCCCAAGCCATTCCGCCTTTCACTGCTCACAGAGAAAGAGAAGCCTTTCAGCACAGAAAGCGGAGTGTAAGGGACTGACGGAAAGGGTCCGGGCCATCTGGCACCACATGAGGTGCCCTGAGGCAGAAGCTCGTTCTCCAGGGTACTGTCATTCCAGGGAAACTTTCACAACAGCCTGTGGGAAGTGGGACAAAGTCTGGAGAGGCCAGGGGGTGGGAGAACCAGACAAGGTGTTCTCCTGGCTTCCTCCTTCCCACTCCCATGCAGTCTTCACAGCGCCCTCACACCTGTGGGGGGCCGTCCTGCCCCCACGGTGTTCTCACCAGGTTCAATGTCCTAAGAGGGGCGCACCTGCCCTGTGGGGTCCTACCTGCCCCTCCCCCATCTCATCCTTTCAGCTCCCACCTCCCCTCCCCCTCCCCACCACTCAGACCCTGGTTTCAGCCACACAGAACTTCTTACCACTCCTTATCCTCTAGAATGTTCCTCTTGATCACAGTTTAAGGCCTAGAGGAAAAGCTTCCTGGTCCATGATCTTTCCCCAACTCCCCAAAGCTCCGAGCAGAAGAAAGAGTCACTTCCTCTCAAATGTTCCCACAGCACTTTGACAACAACCCGACCACTTCCCATGGTGCCTTATTATAAATGTTCCATTTCGTGGCCAGATCATAGTAAGTCTTGTAAACAGAGGGACTCTCATTTTTTTCATCTCCATATTCCCAGCACGAAGCACAGCTCCAGGGCATGTAGTGAGCCCCAGTAAGTTTGCTGAGTGACTGACTGACCGACTGAATTACTAAGGTCATGCTAGTCTCCACCTCCCAACCCTGAATCATACTTAAGAGTATTTTTTTCTGATCCTCCCACTTTGACACAAATCCCTGCCAATAACACGGCACAATTAGCCTGTGACAAAAAAGGATCAATCTGAGAACGCTTTCCAAATGGAATGTGGTACATCTCTAGAGTCCATCTCTTGGTGACTCTGTGGGAACAGCCTTCCAAGGGTTTTGTTTCTTAGACAGTCTAATAAAGCAACCATAGTCCCAGGCCTTCTGATATCCCCACCTTCCCCATTCCAAGAAGACACAATTTACCATGAGATCTTCTCCATTCACACCTTGTGTAGCCTTTTCTTTCTATTTTTCATTTATTTGTTTCACAAATATTTATTGAGCACCTACTATGTACTATGCACTGGTCTAGGATCTGTGGATAGAGTAGTGAGCAAAACAGACAATAATCCCTCATTGACCGTTTTACTCTAGTGGTGGAAAGAGACAAAGAAGATAAACAAGTAAAATGCATAATGTGCATGGTCATGATTGGTCCTAAGGAGAGAAAAAAACAAAGCAAGACACAAAGATAGCTGGGAGAAGAGAATTCTAGGCAAAGAGCATAGGGCCTGCGGTGGGAGTGTGCCTGGCATGTTCAAGGATCAGCCAAGAGGCCACTGCAGCAAGACTACAGTGAGCCCAGGAAGGCGCGTGGAAGAGAAAGGCAGGAAGCTAAAGGCATCACTGGAGGAAAACAACAACAACAAAAAGCCATGGAACAGAGAACCCCGGTTTGGGAAGGACGTAGTGTGTGGATGTTGAAATCAGTAAGAGTTATGCCAGGAGTATTAGATTAGGAAAAGTGACTATGAGCCAGGAGCTAAAAGGTTTAAGAAATCAGGGGAGGGAGCGACCGGAGGGGTCAGAGGTGACAGCAGCGAGGGTGGTGAGTGGTTTATTCTGTTGGTATTAGATTTAAATGTGGGTGATTTCAGGGAGCAGGCAGGGGGTTGGCTTGGAAGGGGCATTGAGGAGACATGGTACAGGAATGTGAGACAGAAAGGAGGGACCAGGGGGCCCCGCAGGGAGGCAGAGTCCTCAGGGTTTCACAGGAGGATGAAAATAAACAGAAAGCCCAGAGAAGAGGCTGCAGATGTCCTGATCTTGCTCAGGACCGACTCTGAACATCTGAGGGCCCAGGCAACGGCTTTCAGGGTTTAGAGAGAGTGGGGAATGCAGGCAGGAAAGGCAACTCCTGACTCACTGTCTCCCTGTTTTCAGTTTTTTATTTTCGGTTTCTAGCTGATCTGTCCCTCTCCATCCTTCTTCTATCTTTGCTCATTTCTTGGCTTATCCTAAGATTTCCTGTCCTGTTTTTTCTATTAGTAGCAATTTTCTCTTTCAGTCCCCTTCCTGGATTATCATTCTCTCTGTTTCTGAGTCTTCCTTCTGTATTAGCTTTCGACATTTCCTTCGGATGTGGATCATGTTTTTTCCCCCAAGCTTTTCTCTTTCCTTCTTCTTGGTTTTCAATCCGTCTCTCTAGGAACGACCCATGTGGTTGTTCGCTCTAAGGATGCCTTGAACACCTCTGAAATTTACTCCTGAGACCACGCTGCCGGTTGACATCCTCGGCACCTGGAAATGACCCTTTCCTCACCTGGACTTTCACGGGCTCCATCCAGTGCTCCAGAGTGTCAGCAGTGACGTTCTCAGGAAGAATGACGGGATCACTGGGGGGGATTACACACGACGGGGAACACACTGCACCTGAAGGGACAGAAATGTACAACGGACACTTGAACTTCCCACAGCTCAGTCTTTTCCTGGAATCAACAGCTTTGACTCTTCAAGAGTAATTGGTTCCTACATTAAGGGTCACCACGTTAGCACGGCTATAGGCCGTGTACCTGCAGGGACACTTCCACACCAACTGCTGAAGAGTCACTGCCCCGAGCCAACTCCCTTGCCCCCAGTGCTCTTCTTCTTGTTGGTCCAATACGCCCCCTCCTCTGGAATCCCTGAATCTCTGTGTGATGCAGCAATAAAAGTTTTAGCTCCTGGTCTCCCAGACTTCCAAGACCCCACTCCGGGACTCTGGCCAGCCAAAGTCTATCCTGATTGGTTGATGCCTTGTAAGTACTCTCAATATCATTCTATGTACTTACAGGATTTCCTGGAAGCTTATAATTGCAGCATCTACTGCCTAAAAACTTTACTAGCTGGGGAAAAAAAATGGCCCAGAAATTATGAAGGCGGATTTATAATGTCTGCTACACTGAAGATCATTACACTGGCAGCCAAGAAACCTACGTGATTAAAGAGGAAGCAAGAGGAAATCAGAAGCAGAGATTTTGGTCATGTATTGGCCTTTCGAAGGAAAATCTTGCTCTAGTTCCTTGTATGTGGCATCCAAGTAGCTTCTAAGATTCTATTCAAAGAAGACACACTCTCACTGTTCTCTATTTTCTCCTCTAAAGAGTTGATGATCGCCAAGTCTCTTTTCAGCTCTCACTATCTCTATTCCTGTTTTTTGCTAACTTGTATAATAACTCAAAGAGTGACATGACTCTTAAAGACTCTGTATATGTAAGTGTACGACATATTAACATAGAAACTAGAGGGTAGGGAGATAAGAATTTTCTCATGAAACACCATGCAAGAGGCATAGTCGAAGCACCCCACTACTCCATGTTTGACCCCGAGATTTCTCAGTGCAAAAGCAACTTGAAGATGGAAAAGAACCATCTCAGAAACTGACAAGCTTTCTCATTAACTTGAAGATACCCACTGGCATGACCCAATTTATAAAATTAAGCTTGCCTGTGCCATTCAAAGCTTAGGGTTAATCTCACAAGAATTTCCACAAGCAGTATCTCTTTCCTAGGATGCTTACATTTAGCCAGGGCAGATTTGAGTCAATGTCACTTTAAACCAGCCCTGGCCACAGAGATTTTTAATTTCAGTTATTTCATTAAGAAGTTGCCCCTAGGTTCCGGATCCTGATTCCCCGCACAGAAAGAATGGCTGCTGAGCCAGACAAGCCAGAGCAATCTCAAATTGCTCCTTTCAGGAACTCTCTGCTCCAGTAACAACAGCAGAGAGAACACAGGAGGCGCCCGGCACATGTGTGGTACGTGGCTACACGTTTCCACCTTTCCTCTTGGAACTACTACTCCAGCCACAAATCAATCCACTTTTAGCCTGCAGTGAAGAGAGTAACATGACCAGACACTATGCAAATGGTTCAGCAGCGGCACCAACATTCCACACTTGTGGAGGAGTAAAAAAAATAATATGAATTTGTCATAAATTTCATTTTTACTGAAGCGACTAAGAGTCAGCTTGCACTTCCATCCATTCCTCAGGGAGAGCAATGGATCTGATTCAAGATCCAGCCAGGCCTAATAAAAGGATTACTTGGGAGCAGAATTCAGCATTGCTTCCCAAACCTACCAATCCCGTATCCCTGTTCACACTTGTACTCCACGAAATTCAGCTCCGAGGTGGGTGGTGGGCATTCCCCTTGCAGGTTCTCACACAACTTGAATTCCTCAGTCCACAGTCCCTTCTTAGTGCAGAGGATGGGGAGCTAGAATATCAGAAGTCAAGAACATGTCCATTATTGTTTTGCTCACTTATTTTAGAGTGAGGACAAAAGTGGTCTGATTAAATTTAGTGCTCTCCAACTTTAAGAACCCAGACTAAAAGATACTATTGGAATAACAAACCATGTTGTTACAGACTACCCCTTCCCCCCCAAAAACAAGTCAAGACAATTTTTTGCTGTTTTGATGTGAAGGAATCATGAACAACTTTGTCACTAATGAAATTCATTAACAAAGTTCCCTCCTTTGGATATAAGGATATGGTGAGCTATCCACTGTGGCTCATGTATTCTGAGATCTTTTTTGGAAATTTTTTCCCAGACGGTGTTGTTTTGCATTGATCTGTTCATACGATCCCACAAATGCTGCTTGTGGGAAATGCCACATTTTTTTCAACGTGAGTTTAAGTCAGGGAAACTAATTCATAATTTTTCTGAAGGTGCTTTCTGCTTTTCTGCTTGAATGGACACATCATCACTGCCTTTGATCTCACCACAGTTCTATTCCCTTTCTCCACGTGTGTTCTGGTTTGTGCAACTCTTGGCTTACATCTCCGGGAATAATAAAGTATGTTATAATGCAGAATACAGAGAACAGCACTCACTCACAAAACCCAAGAAAGTAAGATTGTAGAATTAGAGGTAAGTCTCCCTTTACCTGGCCAACTCCTTGAACAATCAGTACAAACAAATGTGTTTGGTTTCTCAGGGGTCTCATTTCACGGAGCGTTCTTTTCACATCTGTCCTGCACTGCTTACCTTGCAGTATTGGACACTGAGCTCAAGACATGTGCCAGGAGAGCAGTCAAGGTCATTGATCTTTGCCTAGGACGTCTGCTTAACTTCCTGTCTCGTGTATGTGGGTGGTACTTGCAAAGAGTCTAAAATAAAACTGATCTTAGTCACGTAACCACGATAAGACTGTGGTTTTTGTTTGAGACCTCTCGCACCAAAATCCAAGGGAGAATAAAAGCCAGACAGCGTTTTCAGCTTTGCCTTTGCTGAGAAATTCGTGTTCAGGACTCTGGCTCTACTAAAAAGTGTAATACCAGCATTTCCAGGCAAGTTAGGTCGGAGGAAATCACATCACCAAATCAGAATCCCAGCATTTATGCAATTTACTCCGGTACCCAAACCATCAGGTCGTGCTTCTTATCCAGAAGGAAGTTCTGAAGTCAGGAGAGAATATTCCAAAAACGTGGTCTCTTCTGAACCCCTTATAGATTAATGTCAACACCCATGGTTAGAATGCCAGCTTAGCAAGGTCCTGCCTGTTGGGATCCATTTAGATCATTTCTACTCAACATTCTTGGATTTGTCACCATGATTAGAGCACAGCCTGCTCCAGATTCAAGTTAAGTCATCCTTACCCTTTTGCTTTCCTGGTTACAGTTGAGCACACACTGGCTGCCGAGCTCAAAGCCATTGGTGCATTCATACATGCCTTCAAAGACCGGAGAAGGGGGCTCACACACCACTGGGACACAGCTTCCTCGCTCCCAGATGCCACCCTCCAGGCACTGTATCTTCAGGAACTTGCTGATAAGACATAACACAAAATTGCCCATCAGAATCCCTCAAGGAGATTATGGGAGGAGACTGGCCCCTCAGTAACGTGGGATTAGGATTTGCAAAGAGGGCCAGTTGGCTCTTGTTAGCCAAACATCCTACTTCTCCAGCCTAATTTCTAAATCATGGAAGGAAAAATGGCAATGTGCACTTCATAGCAGTGATAGCATTAGCCGTTGTGTAGTAATATTTGATATGTTACTCTCCAGAGAGCTTGTTAAGTGTCAGGGCAGCGTCTAGATTTTTTTACAGTTGGGTTTTCTTTAAGCTTTTCATCTTGGAGCAATCTCACCCGTACATGCACAGGGAAATACCAGGGAGGACAGAGTACAGAAGAGGTTATCACAGAGGCAGGGGACTATCCTGCAGTCATTTGAGGTTCATCAGTGTTAATACGGTAACAATTAATGAGGCTGCCAGTATTTATTGGTTCTCCAGAGAGGGGAGGGTATGGGTCTTCTTTTAAAACAGAGGCTCTTCCTCTGAACTTTAGAAGGGCAACGGTCTTGCTGGAAATTACTATGGTCACTTCGTTTCCTTACAAGTCCATTTTTTTTCTTGAAAAGCGTTCATTGCTTTCATCAGATTCTCAAAGTAGAGGTGACTCAACACTGTCCTGGAAGAACTGCCCTTCCTTCTCATGCTCAGCTCCGGCCTCCAACCAGAGAGGCTGTGCGTGAAGTGGGCGGCAGTCAGTAGAACTAGGTCTTGCCACTTGGAACTCCATTCCATCCCCCCTCTGACCCACTGCCAAGCCGAAGGTGCTTTCCATTCTGCTGTTCTAACGCACCCGCTTCTGATTCAGAACATTCCTGGTTACACTTAAGCTTGTGACTCTAAAACAGAAATAATCCTTTGGCTGTTGAATCAAA